TAGAATGAATACAATATAAACAAAAAAATAAATGTATTTATCAAACTACAACTAGAATAAATAATAATAACTAATGATTTTTTCTGCTCTTGAATTTCCTATATAATTCATAATACTCATTCACCCTGATTCTTATCTCATTAACCCCGGGATGAACCATTTACCCAGTTGAGAAGCACTGGTCTGTCACTTCAAAATTAGGGATGGCTAATGCAGTTAGCCTTTGAGTGGCTTTGTGCTCTTTTCAGCCATTCAGTATGATATATTTGTTCATTAGAGTGGTCAGTATATATTGCATGGATAATGCCCTCAACGTGTGGGATTCTAGCTATAAGTGGCAGCAGAGGTAAGTATGTTTTGGAAGTTAACATTTTCCTAAATTGAAAATGTATTTTCAATAATACTTACCTTCGCTGACACTCTCCTGCACTTCCTCCCTACTGAGAGCTGGTGTTAGAGACTGGGATGGTATTAGTCTTGAAAAAGTGATAAAATTATCTGAATAAGGTGCTTATATACAGTACCAGGATAGAGTGTGTATTGACAAAGGTGGAGAGTATCATGAGACAAATATTGCCAAGGGCAGTTCAGTAGGGTATAAAAGACTGGAGCAAGTGAGAAAAAAATCAGACCATTGCTTAAATGGGCAAATTTGACTAATAGCTATAAGTGTCAACAGAGGTAGGTATTATTGGAAATACATTTTCAATTTAGGAAAATGTTAACTTTCAGTTCTAGATTTATTAAAATTAAACACTATTTTCTTTATAAAGCTTTTCTTTTGAAAATCAGAATTAAATTCATGTAAAAAATATTTATTTAACCCTTCAAAGTTACAGTTATTGTTGTTTAATTTAAATATGAAAAATATTTTTTGAAAAACTTAGTGAACTCATTTAGAATTTTTCTAACTCTATTTTTTCATCTCGGCATTAAGAGAACTCCTAATATGGACTAATAATAAATTATTTTTTGAAGACTCATCTACTATTAGTTAAGCAGATAATTGCAAATATTTTTGAATACATGGCATTTTATATTTTTAAATGTTAAATTATTTTGATGATAAAAATTCTAGCTTTTAGAAAACATAGTAGGAAAATACTCTGTACATTAACTAACTGTTTTCTTTATATTAACCCATAAAGGATGCTTCAAGAAAAACTTGACCAGCCAGTGTCTGCACCTGCTTCACCTCGAGATATAAACAATGGAGATACAGCTGCAAATTTGACTTTGTATGTACAGCACCTAAGGAATGAAGTAGCTAAGCTCAAAATGCAACTATTAAATGCTCAACAAGAATGTAAGTTAAAATTAGATGTAAGTACAGTACATAGTGAAGTGTAAATAAATTTTCCAACATGATACCTTACCTCCGTTCACATGATAGCTTTTCTCAACTTTTGCTACCCTCTATTTATACAATTTTTGCTCAACTAGCCTTGATGCTCCCACCAACCCTCACATGAGTTCATGTAGTATAGGTGCACTGTAGCATGCAAATGAGCATTTGACAACCCTCCACCAATAGGAGTGACACACTCCCTCCTAGCTCAGCTGACTCCCTCTATACTGTAGAGCACATCACTCTCATCACTTCTCAATTTGGCATTCCAATGTGCAGTTGTGCTCAATTTTTGCTCTATGCTTTGTATTATCATGTGCAATTTCACTACATACTACTCTATTGACTAGTTTGTTGTCATTTACCTTTTTTTGTGGAAAGTTCTTTTTCCACATAATGAACTCTCAATTTAATATTACTACAGCTACTGGTATATCCTGTCACTACTGATCCAACAACAATTACTACTTCTGTTACTTTGGGTTCCTCACTTTCAGCAGAGGTCTCAGCCTTGGTGTGTAGAGAGTTAGAGTCTACCATACAGCCAGGTACATCTCCAGAACCATGGTTGGATCTCCCCTTTCCTGGAAAATCTATTCCCAAAGAGGAAGATTTGGACAGCCTTTTTTCACCTCCTTCCTTTATTGTGCCTCTCTGTTCTATCCCTCTCAATATACCTCATCCTTTGCCTGCATTTTTGGACAGATATGTTACCTTTTGTTTCTTTCCTCTGTGTCTTATGATTCCACCCCCTCCCTTCTTCATCCTGCCCCAGTATTGGATTATTTAGTTTTCTCTTCCTCATCTGATATTGAAGTCTATGCTGAACAGTTTATTACCCAATTATCTTTGGGTGTCAACATGCCTCAGCCCTCACATTTGGCTCCCATGTTTTGCCATATCATAGGTCAGAATTCTCAGATTTTAGAATCTCTAATTCAGGCATATTTCTCTGCTTCTATACTACAGTTTTCTCCAGCCCAGTTGTCTTGTCTCCATTTCACCCTCACTACCATTCTTTGTTATCTCTCATCCATTCACCTTCTTTCTGAGACTATCCACTATTCCTCCGAGGAGTTTTTGGCAGATACACATACCCTACCTTTTTCTTTGTTGGTGTACTTATCTTCCTCGGGTTTGTCCCTTTATACATGGATCCTTTATTGTTGAGATCTCCTTGGAGGGAAGTCCTCTTGTCACACGTGCATCTGCCTGCTTCCTTTTTACGTGATTTTGTCTGGCTCCTTTCTTGTACCAGTCTGTTTTTGGATATCTCACTGATGCTTTAAAGTCTCTGGAAGATGTTACATGTAAACATTCCTCCTTCTCCTCCCTTGTTTCCTAGCTTTTCCATTCTTCTCCTGTTCCTGTTTGTTTGTCTTGCTCCACTAAATTTTCCCCTCTACTGGTGCCACTTTCCCAGGTTTCGGCAGTGAGTCACCTAAGTGTCAATCATTGCATTTTCCAATATCAGTTTTGTTGTTGACTCTCCTGTGGGTTCTAGCATGTGGGGGCTTGGTTGGTCAGGTTTGCTCATCTCTGGTGCCCTTTTGCCATGGACTCTTGGGTTCTTCACATTCTAACAGAAGGACTGCCTTTTCGTTTTTCTGCTCCTCCCCTTTATCCCTATGTCCCATTTCTATCTCCACTCTTTGAGATCTACTTTCTTGCCATTGACTCTCTGAGTGAGTTTGAGATCTCTTGAAAAAGGGTGCTATAGAAGTGTTTCATGCTTCTCCAGGTTTTTATCCCCAGCTGTTCGTTGTTCCCAAAAGTACCGGGAATTGGAGTCCTGTTATCAATCTCTTCAGCTTCAACCACTTCATCGACCTGCCACGGTTCACCATGGAGTCTTTCCTCACCCTCTGATGGTTGTTCACTTCAGGTCTATGGATAACCAAGGTCAACATCATGTCTTAGATGCTTACCTTTGTATCATGATTTCTACAGCATTCAGACATTACCTTCAGTTTGTTCAGGGGGTCAGGTGTTTCAGTTCCATGCTCTACTATTCGGTCTGGCACTGATGCCATACATCTTTTGTCACATGGTCAGAGCCTTTGCCCTCCATATTCACAACCAAATTTACAGTTTCATCATTATATGAATGACTGGCTCCTTTTAGTTCCTTTTCGACAAGGCAGCTTGTGTGCAATGGCTTGTTGAGATGGAGATGTCCCATCTTGACCCCACACAGTATCTTATTCATCTGAAAATATTTTTTATTTCCTACCTGAGCAGGGCCCAGCCTTCTCATCTTCATTTGAGGGCAATGGAGCTCTTGGTCTCTAAAGCCAAGCCCTCTCCTTCTCTTCTTGCACATGTGGTTTTCTCTCTTTTGGGAATCTCAGCTTCCATGGTATATTTTATCCCTTCGGGTCATATACACATACATTGCCTTTATTAGGTGCTGCACAATCAATGGAATCACATTCATAATCCCTTGGGCTCTGTCATTTACAAGTTGACTTTTCATCTTGGCTCGATAAGGACAACACCTCAATGGGCATTCCTCTGCCTCCTCCCCATCCCAATTTGAATCTCTTTACAGATGCTTCTCTTACTTGATGGGGAGCATACTTAGATTTTCAGGATATAGCCAATTGTTGGTCAATGGTCGAATCTTCCCTACACATCAACCTTTTGGAACTCCTAGCTGTTCATCAGGCTATGGATCATTTCCTACCAGTAGTACAGGGCCACCTGGTCATAATCCATCCAGAGTTCTGACAAATCGACTGTTTGCTCTTACATCAATTATGCTTTTTAATGTTGTATCTCCTTTTATGAACCCAATCTCAATGGGTCCATCTTTTGGCTTGTCACATCCTGAGTTCTCTGAATCTTGTGTCAGATTAGCTGTCTTGTTTTGACAAAATTCCACCAATGAAGTGGTCTCTTGCTCCTCAGGTGTTCTGATGATTATGCTCCCAGCTGGGTTCCCTCTTCTGGATATATTTGCCACTCAGCTCAATACCATACTTCCCCTCTTCTGGTCTCCAGCTCTGCATCCTTCAGCTTTAGTAGTGGATGCCTTCAGTCAGGATTGGACCAGTTTTTACCTGTTGCTTATCCTCTCTTCCATCTTCTTCCACACATTCTCACTCTTATACAAACCACTCTGTGTCAGGTTCTTTTCATCACCCCACTCTGACCTACACAACAATGATTTCCACTGTTGAACCACCTTAAATCATCACCTCCCATATATCTTCCACTTTTCCAATCCCTTCTCAGAAAATCTCAGTCCTCTGTCTTTCATCCTGCCATAGTCACAGTCTGTCTTCATGCATGGATTTTGTCCGGTTCCTTCAAGAGAATCTGGGTAGCCTTCTTTCTTTCTCACTCAGTCCACTCCTCTTCTTTGATGATTTATCAGCATAAATGGTGCATTTTATGTCATTGGTCTTTGCACCATTGTTTCTCACTTTCCCAACCAAGTGTTTCCCACCTATCCAATTTTTTTACTTGTCTTTTTGATAATATTTTATCTTTGTCTACTATTGCAAGCTATAGGGCAGCCTTGTCCAATACCTTTTTTTTCATGCTTCTGTTGTATGTTTCTTCTCCTGGCCTTTCTGTCCTGTTTCACTCTTTTCATCTGAATCATCTACCTTGCCCAGTTACCCTACCAGATTG